AGAGAGAGAGAGAGAGAGAGAGAGAGACAGACAGAGAGAGAGAGGCAAAAAAGTGAAATTGGAAAAATGTTCAGTCCATATTGCATTCATAAAATTGGAACACTTGATAGACGTGCGGGAAATAGACCCGGGCACACGCGATCAATGTACATACTCAAATTTAATTTGTACAATTTCTTAATAATTACAGGTACCGTATCAACAAGTTGCAAAATGGATTCAATACTGTTATCTATTCTGTTTTGAAAGAATAACTTTCCAAGCTGATATCGGTCTTGTCTGTAATAAATCCATTTTTCGTCGACCCCACCTCAACCAAGCAAATCCTATTATTAGGCACAAGATACTCTCTATGTAATATCCATCAAAGTTCATATTGCAAATACCATTGTGCGTGTTCGTGCAAAACTGAAAAGGAAATTTTTATATTCTCAAACGTGTTTTATAAGTAATTATTTATACTACGTCAAAAAGTCTTAATATTAATACCAACCTCCCTTTCCGAAATTGTGCTACAATCATTCGAGGAATCGGTGCTGCATTGTCGAAACGTTAATGGATCAACAAACCAAAGAGCTGCGGTTGCTGGCCAATTACCTCCAAGATTAGATAAAGTATTTAATAATGTCATGTAAGTACCACCGACTGCTGGATCGCTAATTTTTGCAAAAAATGCCATCGATGCCACAAACATACTACTTGTGAAAATCTGAGAAAAACAAAAGTAACATAAATGAATTTATTAATTTATATTATATTTTATCCCATGTTTTATTTTAATATTTTACCTGATGTATCATATATAGACTTATTAAAACTATGAAATAATAGGCTGGAACTTGTCCCCCTGTTACAACATATGGTGTTAACCATACTAAAAATGCTGCTACAAGTCCAAAAGCTAACCTGTAAGATTGATTATAAATATTTATCATATTTATTTATTTAATCCAAATATATCTTTTTTAATCACCTATAAGGCATAGCTCTTATGTATACATCCATAGGTCTTGGACCTACTGTATATTTTGAGATTGCTAATGGTAGTAATATTTGTAAAGGTATCATAGGCACAGCCATAAGAGCAAACTTTTCTTTTGGTATACCAGCTTCTACCAGTTTTAAACCTGTTACAGCATCACAAGCAGAAAATCCTATCTGTAATTGGTATAAGCAAATTAATATCAAAAAAGTTTAAATTTCATTATATTATATTTATTATTTACTAACCTTGGCAGTTAACAAAAATACAATGATAGTTTTTATAGATGGTAATCTAACAATGTTCCATAATAATTTGTAAGCATGTTTGACATCTGTATTTAGTTCCCCATCTTTATGCATTTTTTCTGAATCTTCATGTTTAAACAATGCAACTAAAGTGGTTGTAATTACAAATATCCAACCCCAGAAATAAAGAACATCTACAAGAAAGATTAATAAAACATAATTGTCAATTTTTTAATATATGTTACAATTTAAATTAGTTTACCAGGCAGGGTCAAGATGCCTTTGTTAGAAGGAGTGGATCTTAAGTAAGTATTACAAAATTCTGCAGATTCTAATGCTATAAAAAATACATAACCAATGAAATATCCAGCAGTTTGTCCCACGCTATTACATGTTGATGCATATCCCACATTACATCTAAAACAAAAAAATATAGAATTTTATTGAACCAATATATATATTAACATCTTAATTGCAAATTATATATTTATACCTTTTTAACATAGTGAGTGCCCAACCATCTACAACAATATCTTGAGTTGCAGCTAATACATTTAGAGCAAAAAATATTATGGTCAACATTCCTATGTTTGGTTTTGAAGTTTCATTACCCAACCATTGATCTACATGGCTAGATAATAATAGCATAGAAAAACCCATTAAATATTGCGTTGGAATTAACCATGTTTTTCTTCTTCCAAATTTTTGAGAAAATACAGAATCTACTATTGGTGCCCAAAATAGTTTCAGAGAAAAAGGCCATTGGACAAAACTAAATTCAGCCTAATGATAAATATTCATATAATATCATTTCTATCATTTGAAACAATTCCATATGGATATTATAAATTACCTGTTGACGATATGAAACATTTCTGTTCTGAAGTAACATAGGGATAGATCCACATAAGCCCAATGGTATTCCTTGTAACAGATATAAAAATAAAAGAATAGCTATGTTAGTCTCGTCACCTCGTAAATCGGAACGTTCATGTACGTGATTCGATTCGTGGACACCATCTTCCACTTTGTCGTCCTTTTCCATTTTTCTTCTAGTACCCATGGAGAACGATATAAGAGATCAACAATGATCTCGAACACTTTTCTTTATTTTCCAACGAAATAGATATTTCTTTTATGCGAGAGTTAAATTTTTAATCCTTAACTAAATTTTTAACAATATTATCAAACATCTTGTTAGACGATAATTATCGTTATATTATAACATACCATCCTAAAATATTTCAGCGTAGATCCTTTGATCAAGTAACATAAACATTTCTAAACGGAAGAACCACTCACGCGACAATAAAATTAATTATTAATGTATCTTATTATAAATGTATTATCATTGACGTGGTCATTGCCAATATAACCTTAATTTTATTTGTATAAAATATACAAAAACGAAATGTATGCTTATATGAGAAATTGACAGATGATATTTTCATAAAAAATAAATACTTTTAAATATCTTATAATTATGTTACGAACAACAAGTGACGAACAGCATCTCAAACTGTTTCGCTTTCATTAAGTTAGCGAGGTATCATTGAAAAAAATTTGCAATGGCTCGTAAATGCCACGTTGTTTTTCATTAAGGACACGTCAGTTATACTTTATCTTTTTCAGTCTTAAAGCCACGTGTGAACCCTTTATTACTGAATATAATCATTCAATAGAAGAGCAAAATACTGTAGCTAAATTTATTTGAACAAATTTATTTTCTCACATAAAAATATGCCTTTATACGATGTATAATATTTTCATAGCAATCAATTATTTCTTCAATGAATTTTAAGAGATTAAGATAATATTTGTAAAAATGAACGAATATTATTTAAATTAGATCTACTATCTAGAAAAGTTATGTAATATATAATATTTAAGTAAGAGGTCATTGACTATACAGATTTCATAGTACCGTATTGTAAGTTACATAAGATAGTGACTATGCGCATGATCAGTACGCCATTTTTATTAGTGAGGAATAGTGGAGAAAGAAGAAGGATACGCTTATTTCAGTTTTGTTCGACGATTTAAGTGATTAATAATTCGTAGATTGTTAGAAAATAAACTTTACATGTTTTTTTGAATTAATAACGAGAAAATAAGAAGAAAACTGTCAAAAATATATTTACGGTTAATCATCTTGTTACTGTTCATTTATTCAGTCATGCGCATTAAAGTTTCCATTTTTGTTCGGTAAAATAATTATACTTTTATTTTTCATGATGATTTTTTTATTGCTTTAAATATTTTAATTAATTTCAAAATACAATTTTTTTATAAATTCTAAAATTTAAAAATTGATAAATTTTTAGGTTTTTTATTTTTTATAAGTGTACACGTTAGAATGTTACAATTACCTCCATTCGAACCAATAATAGTTGCTGTTTTTAATAATTTTTTAATACGAACATTTTCAAGTTCTTTAGATATGTTATTTAACAATCTGTAACGATATTAAATCGTGTGTGCAAAGTTTTTAAATTGTTTTTTATAAATTATCATAATAATAAAGAACAAATATATACGTACAAATTGTTAAGTTGACGTTCCAATGCTAATTTTCCAATAAAAAAATCAACATCTTTCCTATGATTAAACCAATAATTCCATTGAATTTCACATGTAAATCTAGCAATACATGATGGTGTCAAAGATGTTTCACTTCCATTTTCATCCTTCTATTTAACGTAAAAATTAAAATGAAATTCATAGTTTGAAATAATAATTAATAAAACAAAAATTGTAAAATCACCTTGGTAATGTTATTTTTTAGGTTTGCTAAGATATAATTCATATAAGCATCTTTGTCTTTAACATTCGATCGTTTCCTCCTTCCCGATACAACTCCAAGCGGAAGAAGAACGGGATTCGTTGCTAAAGCAGCGGCTGCACCAATTAAGGCAACACCTGCCAATGCTTTTAAAGCTACAGCCTGATGCAAATGATAACAATCGATAATATCTTAAGAGATATGATAAATGGACTAACAAATTGGCTGCAAATTAATCATCACCTTTTGTGCTTGAATATTCGGATGTGAAGGAACATGTCCTCCTGAATGATTTGGCTCCACAGGTCCGAATTCTTCGCCATTAGCAAAAGTTCCTGAAATACTACCACCACCAGAAACTGATCCTCCATAACTTGTTGGTCGGCTAAAGCTATATCCTCCGTAACCGTTATTAACATAACCATATTCTCCAGATACGCTGGAATCGTAACCACTGGGTTTTCGTGAACTTTCGCTTCCATAATTCGGCCGTGAACCAAATCTAATACTTGTGCGAAATTGCATTAAGCATTTGAAATATTAATAAGAAAATTGGAAGGAATTATATGTAATATCAAATTAACTGCTTACTTATCTCCTATTATACTTCCTTCGTAGAATACACTTCCACCTCCGGGTTTTTTTGTGCTTTCTCCTGGTGGTCCTTGAGTTTGCCAGCCGTATCTGGATATTCTTTCGATATAAAACTTACGCTTTCGTAAATTAATCGCATTTAAAAAGAAAAAAAAATACCTGTCAACTGGTAAACGTTCGTCGAATTTAATTGGATATCGATTGTTTTCCACAGGGATTCTACTGTAGTATGAATCGGGTCGCATCGATGAATTAGAACCGTATTTGGATCCGCAACAACTAGAACTTGCACGTCAATTCAAAATTCAACTTGCAATTCAAACGTGATGAAAAATAATTTCCAAAACGTAAAAATACTCGACTTATCTTTTGATTCGGATTCCAATCGTTGATCTGAAGCCCGTGATTGTTTATCCAAACGATCAAATTTCTCGTTACCAGACACTACGCTATTCAGGTACGACTTGGAAGAATTTTTATTACGCACGATATTCGCTAATAACTTATTTTCGGATTGTTTTTTAACGAATTCAGAAGTTGTAACAAATTCATTACTTTTCGCTAATGAACAACAAATAACGGTATACGTTAACAAAACACAAACGAATTGCGACATCGTGATAACAAGTCTCTAATTAGGTAATATATGATAATAATTTTTCGAGAAGAAGCAAAGATTTTATTAATAGAAAAATGAACGTCACGAAGAAAAGTGGTTCTTTCCATGAGTTTCACCTTTTTTATATAGTGGCCACGCATGGACTATTGTCGCGCATTGTACCCTTCAGGAGTGGTATCAACTTTCTTCCTGTCTTCGTTACTTTATTTCAGAAAGTTATTCCATGTACGATATATTATATAATTATTTTACAAGTCTTTTTATTTTATAAGAATTTTATTATTATATTAACCTCTATATTTATGCGTTATAAGTAATAATTAATATCACAACGGCAAATATTATTTTCGATATGAAAATTTTATTAACTTAGTTGCGTCCCTGTAATTCACGAAGCATGACCAAAAGATGTGCACTTCTGTTGGTGAAAATAAAAGTGTCATCAGTAAGTCAACAATATTTTTACCGTCACGCTAAGAATTTAATTAACTTCGCTTTGTTGCCGCAGTTTTAAGTGAAATTTCACATTTTGACAGAAAGAGCAACAGCAGATTCAAATCTCGATTTATTTGTAAAAACAATTATACATATCTATCACATATATACATAAAGAATAATGTTGGATCATATTTTTGTTCTTGTAAATATATTCAGAACAAATGTCGATTGCCATTGTAGGAATTTCATTCAAATAGATGAATTTGTTCCTTATTTGAAATTTTTTAATTCTCGTTTACGATTTAGATAAATATTTGTTCATCATTTTTAAGCTTCAACAAACTCAAATATTTTTTTTTCTTTTTTTTCTTTTTTTCGAATAAAAATATTTCATTTTTTCTAATCATAATCAATGTTACAAAACACAATAGGATAATCTGTTCCGCCTGGATATTTTTAGTGCTTGTCGACTTAATAACCGTGTGTGGTAGCACGTTACAACATTCTTGGTACAAAATTTATCCATCTATTGTGCGTGAATCGTTTGCAAGTTCGAAACAAAAGAAACGACGAGGATTTTACAACTGTGACGAAAGGAAGTATCTACAGTTTATAATGAGAAGGATTTGGACGGACAAAGAGCGTAGTTCCTGTGAATCTTCTTGATATTGATTATGTAATAATTTAATTGGAATTGAATGAAACATTTTTTAATATATATTTATATAAATATCTTATTCGTTTGTAACTAGAAAAGAAGCTAGCGAAAAGAGATTTGTATTCCGTGCAAAGGGATTGAAAAGCGCGCAGAGACATTATGGAGCTAATTTAGAGAGGAAGAAAAAAAGAGGAGGGAAAGGTCGTGGATAGAACGGGATGATTCGTTACGCGGGCGAGGTAAAAAAGAGAAATGAAAGCGAAGAAAGAGGAGGCAGAGGTGGGTGAGAGGGGTGACAAGAGAGAAGATACGACGAGGACCAAGAGATCGCGGAATGGAACAAGAGTGGAGTAATCAATACGCATTCACACGCGGTGGCTAGCATCCCGTTTCCATGGTAACCGACGCTGGCGCATGCGCAACCTGACCAACGTCATACCGTTATAGAAATTTACTTATCGTCAGAGACAAGTCCGTCCGTGCACGGCGCGGAACCACCAATCGACGAGCTTCGACTCGTTTCAAATCCCTTCCACGATATTCCACGTGCATACATGTGCATCAACATTGCACATTTTAAACCTACTGCAAATCGAGATGCAATCCGGATCCAATTTTCCAGCGTTACAACGTGCACAGTATTTCGAAGAGAACGCTCAACACCGTGAATGATATTCTATCATTTGTCCCTTCGACGACGTAAGAGCGAAAAGCAATATATTCGTTCCTCTTGGATCGAAATAAAGTTAATCGTGTACGATTGTTCCCACATGATGATAGTCATGCTGATGTATCGTTGTCACTAGTAGGGGTACAGTAAAACGTTTGACTCTCGGATGTTCACCCCCCTCTGGCCAAGTCAGAGGGGATGGAAGCTGTGGAGTTTGCGGGAAACAGGGGGTGATTTTCCTTCAGGCGCCTGCGTCGAGTCCTCGATGACGACTCGTCGAGGTAGGTGCTCGACCCGGACGCAGTACGGAAGAAACGTCGAGCACGCAGAGTGCCGTCCTCGTGACACATCTTACTCTTTTTTTTCTTTCCCCCTTTCGATCCATGGCAACAAGAAAACGTGGGAAAGCTTGCCCGGTGAATTGTCGAATTATCGAGAAGAATTGTCGAACATTGTTCGGTGAGCCTATAATTGGACGATAATAATAATTACGCGATATCCCCAGTTTTCTGTCGTTGCAGTGACCGTAAATGACGAGGACAGTTGATATCATGGTCGAGGATTATCATATGGCTCGATGTCGCGGCAAAATAAAATTAACGTGCAATTTTTGAACGATTTCGAACGATACAAGTGATATTTCATCGGAACATTTTTTTTGTCAACATTCATTGCATTGCAAATATATACATACATATATATATATATATATCTCGTGTAGTGAATGAGTATGGTCAATATGTCGCGGTGAGGCAATTTGAAGGATGAGCCTGGATGAGGTTTCGTCTATAGTGTGTCTATGTTAAAAAGATATCAGGGAACAATCAACACTGTCGATCGTTCTTACTTACTGCTACCAACAGAAAACAACAGGTTGAATTAGTGATATATCGATATCAAGTAAATATCAAGATATATCGAGAGATTTCACATTTGCATCGTGTGTAAACCATTTCTCGGGCCACGTCATCTCGCACATTCGAACATCTGCCAATTAGACGATGTATTTCCGGCAAATCGCCAAGGTTAATCGCCGATAAGCATCCCGAGATGTTCTTACCACCATAAAGACAGGCTTAGTCGCATTTAATCGGTTGCATGTGGGTCACAAGTTGCATTCGCCAAACCTAACCGGATAGAAGGTTTACCGAGTAGAGAGGTAAGCTTGTTAAATTGCGTTACGCTTCCAGCGTTACCGCGCTTCCACTAATATATAACGGTGTAATTAATTGTCTTCTTAATGCCCCTTTTCTTAATGCTTCTCTCTCTCTCTCTCTTGATTATTCTCATATTTTTCGGCGGGATTCTTCGAGAATTATCGTGGGTCGAAGCAGCCGAAAATTTTTTAAATCCTCCAATTTGTTACAAATTATCGTTCCTCGATTTATAGCACGTTTTCGATTGCACGAAGAGGAAAGGGTAAAATTTCTGAATATTTGCAAATCGTCAAATCGGTTAGGTCGAAGTCACGTGGTGAATGCAGTTTACAGTGTCCTTAACCTTCCGGAAAAAAAATCAATTCTTCGTTTAATAATCAGGTGTTCTTCTTAAACCGAAGAAATCGTATCATCATCATCCATGATTTGACGAATGAAATTCTTTGGCACGAAATATTTATGTTTCGAAGTGAAATTAATAAGAAAGATGGAAGATGCAATTTTTCTCTCCCTCGAGTTTGGAATCTTGGCATTCTTCCCTGAGAGGTTATTCGCCACTTAGCGCGTTCAATCTTCCGCATGAATATCTTCTGAACTGTACGATATTCGATAATATTGGCTGTCGCAAGGGGAAAGTGGTATCACACCACCTGTGATAACACACTTTTCGAATCTTTGTTTGCATTAATTTCATTTATAGAAACCTAACCGGGACTATAATGCTCAGGGACACCGATACACACCGAGCATCAAGGATTATCACATTTGGATTATATCTGTGATTTTGTTTTAAGGCTTCATTTTGCGTCGTCCATGCACAGTTTGAAACTAGCCATCGAATATGAAAAAATTTGAGAAATCGTGGAAAGAAACTTTTACATCAAACTTTTCATCGTTCGTGACGACACTTTACAGGCCGATTGTTTACTCGATTCACATGAAACGTAGTCACATGAGAAATACGCGGGGGTTATCCCACCGCAAGTGACACTAGTGACACGCTCGAGGGTTTCTAGTGGGTGTCATTCAAAATACGAGTCAAACGGTAGGGACGACGTTTTACGACATCGATGTTGACAGGGAACCGTCTCCACCCTACCACGATGCTCTTCCTCGTACGCGCAATCTTTAAAGGAACGAAAAACGTTTCCGGGTGAAGAGGAAATGGGATGGCGAAAATTAAAAATTCATTCCACGAATCGAACACTCTCGAGTTCTCGGATGCTTTCATCCTCGTTCTCATCTCAAGAGAAAAGAGTCGAAAGATCGACGCGACACGCGACCAAGTTTTTCCGCCTCCTCCGCGCGCCGGACGACTTTTCGAGTTCGATGCTCGCTGGAACACGAAGGAAAAAGAAAAAAAAGAGACGCGAAGGGAAAAAAACCGGGTGAAAAGTGGTTCTTTGCATGCACATCCACCGTAATGAGAGAGTCATTCTTGGTTCTCTCGCGAGTGGAAACTTGTTCGCGCGAAAGACGTTGTCATCTGCATAATTGAAAACTATGCATATACTCGCGAATGAAAAAGAAAGGAAAAAAAATATCCACGAATTCTGAGATTCTTTCTTTAAAAGAAAAACTCTAGAAGAGAAAGAATTTTCTACGTATACATATTTCACTCTCCACGGAAATAATCGATACCCGTGCAATCGTCGTGAAAATACCATACCATACTCTTTCTTTAATCCCGCCTTTTTCACTATATCCACGTTCGAACAAGAAGAGAAGATTGCGAGGGGCTGCTTTTCAAAATTTCGATTTCACGCGTTTTTTCGTGAAAAATCGTCATCGGTTTTCCCTTTCCTCCAGGGGAAGGTGTGCACTGCTCGTCTACGAATCCTTGAACGAGCAACGAAAGGAGCATCGAGTAATACAGGAATCAAGAGAAGTGAGAGTGTCGGGATGGAGGAAATTGTCTGACTACCCTCCCTTTTCGGTAACGCATCCCCTCGTGACTCGAGTTAACCAGAGAGAGAGGGAAGAAAGGCTTCCACTCCGGCTTTCAAGCGGAACGGTGGTCGGGGGAATGAAAATCTGGTCGAATCTTGCCTTCGCGGCATATCGAAGCTGGGAAAAATAAAATTCCCGCCGCCGGTCGATAACGCGCCGGTTTCCGTCAGGGGAGGTTTGAAGAAAGGAAACGCTTCCCCGTTGAAGAGTCACCAGTCGATGGGATATCGTGGAACAATAGGGGGTGTGAGAAAAAATATTTTCCTCGAAGATAGAATTTATCTTCGAATTTCTCGAGCAGGGCGTTCGAAAGTAGATTTTCAAAGAGAAGTGAGCAATAATAATCTTCGATTATATTATTCTCTGCAATTCTGGACAAGTTTAGCCCTCCCTTGATCGAATGGAAAAGGAAAAGAATGGGAATCGAAGGGTAAGGTTGATGTAGGCGACAGAAAAAAAGGTGAGCGCGCATAATCTTCGTGTATATATACGATTGCAGAGCATTGGAAATGTGTGATGTAACACTGAAGAGATTGAAACGTTCGCGACACGACGCTTGAATTGAAAGCAAACGAGAACAAACGAGCCGCGTCTCTCGCAAATTTCCGTTGTTTCCGGGTCAGACGCCATTTCATATCGATTTGACAAAGTGTTGAAAACACAAAGTGTTGAAAACACATCTAGAGAAATATGTTCTATCGAAGCTTCTCGTAGACACAACGATTGTAAACACATCACAGAGAGGGTTGCATTTCCATACATTTGAATTAAACCGCCCACAATAAAATCCACATCTCCGGTTTTCTTTAACGAGATCGAGAGTTGTTGGCCAGCCGGAAAATGGATTTTCATTAACTTGACTTGAAAATATTTTTCCTCCCTTCTCGATAAAACTTTCGCCTGAATAACAATTTTTACGCGATTTAATATTCGTTGGAACGGTGCAAACGCGTTTCGCTCGTTACTTTCCCCCGAGATTTTTCCCTCCCGTTTCCTTGGCCGTGCTGTACACGCAGAACGTGGTATATACCACGGGGGAATCCCATTTGTAGGAGCGTCTACCTACCGGCGAGCATATTGCCTTCCCAGACCTATTTGCGTACGCGTGTTTGGGGCGCGTGAGGGTGCATTCGTTTACCCGAAACTCGATTTCGAAGCTTCGGTAATTGAATTTCAAGTACGTCTACGTGGCCAGCTGTTGATACGTTTAAGGCCAATATGGGAGGATATTCCTTGTTTCCAGATCATCGCGTTAAATGATAACTCCATTTCGATCGTTACCATCTTTCTTCTTTTTTTCTTCAATTCTCTGCGGATTTACTTTACTCCCGATTTAATTTTCCTCGAAGTTTAAAATCGATTAAAATTCGATCCCAATATTTTTCGATATTCAGGTTTTCCTTGTAACTAACTTGGAGATTCGTTGTGCCGCAGGAGGAAAATGTGGAGCTCGGTTACCGCGGCCGGCACTGAGAACGGGCCCGCACCACCTTCCAGAAGCAAGCACAGCGCCACTTTACTCTCCGGCCACGTATATCTCCTCGGAGGACGAAACGGCAACCTTCCCCTCAAAGATCTTTGGCGATACAGCCTCGGTAAGTGACAATTTTTTTCCCTTTCCTTTTAGCTGTTAAACTGCTTTTGCCTTCGAAAGAATTAAAAACGCGAGACTCGTGGAAAGGGGATGAAGAAATAAAAATTAATACGCGATGTCTGAGCACGGAGGAACAACATCTCTGACCAACGCCACCCTACCATCTCGCTCGGTGAACGAGAGGGTGCGCGACGGAATTTAAACGGGGTTCAGTCTGATCAATAACACGCCATTATTAAAGCCAACGTCCGTATCAACTAAATCCGCGATACTCCACAATTATACCTGTTTCCACGGGGATCGTATATTAATTGAACCCTCGTGCGATAATCGCCTCGTTTCGAAGAGGATATTAACCGGATATCCGTTGGACTCGGTCAACATTTTTTCACCGATAAGGATCATTCGGCTGACCACTTTGAACCTAGCCAAGTTTCGATTGGCAACGCTTTAAAGGTATTCCCCGTAGACTTTGTTTTCGATATCGAAGAGAATTGCAGACGGATTTTAAATTCGAAACGGCGCTATTCGAATCGATTCGAAATACGAGGCGGAACCATTACGATTCGATATATCGCGTGTATGTAAAATTCGTCCAATGGGGTAATAGAATTTGCAATGTTTGATCGTGGCTTCGAGATGCCCTATTCATCAGCGTGGATTGTTCGAGTACAAGTTTGGGTGAATATTAAAGCGGTATCAGAAGGGGTTGGTTCGTCTCCCAGGGGGGCAAAATACTATCCAAGAGCCCCTCGGCGTGTTTTCAAAGCATCGTCGATATACTTGGTCTCGCGAAAGTATTATTTGGGACCGCGAGAGCGCTTCATCTTTTTGTTCTTTCCACCCTCTTCTTCCTGATTGTTTAGCTTTCGAACAGAGTTTATTCGTTAAATTTGGATAGAATCCACGATTTTGTCCAATAATTTGTTATCCAACGCTCTGATCGAGTTTCTTCCCGATCTTTCTCTTCGGTAGCAGAAGAGCACTTTCAACAGGGGACAAAGGAAGCGCATTGCTTCTTCTTCTTCTTCTTCTTCTTTTTCTTCGTAGCTAGATACGACACGTTTGTTCGTAATCAATATCGGGCATCTTTAGTGCCAGACACTGCAACCACTTCACCCAGCACATTATGACTCTTATGTAAATTTCACGCTCTTTGTTCCCGAGCACGTTCCACGAAACCGTGACTCGGATAAATTTTAAGCGGTGAAAAAAATATTTCTTTCGATTTTCGCTTAGAAAAAGGAAAAAGACAGAGAGAAACCTCGTTTCCCTCCTTCACTCGCATATAACTTCATGCGCCGTTGATTTCCTTTATTTTTTCCTCCGAGGAGATTAGGGGAGCGTCCCTTTTCTCTTTTCGTAAAACTTGCTAAGGGTAAAGAAGAACCGTTCGTTCTTCCTGTTAAATCCATCCGATGAAGGAGCAAGGTTTTAACGCACCCTTCAAAACCGCGTCTCGCTCAAATGAATTCAGAAGGTTTTATTCGATCCCCCTTTATGTGTGTGTGTGTTTTTTTTTTAAAGATTTTAAAAAAAATTCTAACTTCGCTCTTCCATTCGAGATTATTATCTTTCAAACTCCGTTTCTCCGCGTCCTTGACACTGCTTACATTTAATCCCTCCCTCGAACTCCCATCCGCTCTTGCCACCGTGTTCCTCCGTTTCTTAAGAAGCCCCAACCAAAAGCTTCGAGGATTTATTTCAGAGAGGCAGATCGCAGGGGCGGGGTGAAAGTGCGATTTACCGTGCGTTCGAAAGATTTTCTAGATTGTGGTACACCCCCTAGAGACGTCTCTTCTCGCGTGTGTCTGCCTCCTCCTCCACTCTCCCCTTTCTCTTTTAATTTTGCGCAACGTTGCTCCCCGATACAACTCACCTTCCGATCGTGCTCTTCCACCACTTTCGAAGATGCTCTCAAAAAAAATAAAGGTTTACAAGGATTATTGTCGAGTGGAAGGAAGTTCAGTTTCATTCACATCGTGCTCTTTCACTTCCATCTTCTTCTAATTCCGAAAATGCTCTCAAAAAAATAAAGATTTACAAGGATTATTATCAAGTGGGCCAATGTCGAGAATAGTTAAATAGTCGTGAATAGTTAATGGATAATTAAAATGCGTGTTAAAATAAAATCTGTATGTTGAATGAGAGTTTACAAGGATTACTGTCGAGTGGAAGAAAGTTCAGTTTCATTGTGCTCTTTCACTTCTATCTTCTTCTACTATTTTTGAAGATGCTCTCAAAAAAATAAAGGTTTACAAGGATTATTATCGAGTGGAAGATTTCTTCTTCCATCAAGCGTTGTGAGGGAATAGTTAATGGATAATTAAAACGCGTGTTAGAATAAAATCTTCTTTTATTATTTTTGAAAATACTCTCAAAAAAATAAAGGTACAAGAATTACATCGAATGGAAGATTTCTTCTTCGGCAATACATCAAGTGAGGGAATAATTAATGGATGATTCAAACGTGTATTAGAATAAAATCTGTACGTGTCGTTGAATGAGGGTTTACAAGGATTATTGTCGAGTGGAAGGAAGTTCAATTTCATCGTGCTTTTCTACTTCCATTTTCTTCTTCGTCCAAAGATGCTTTCAAAAAAATAAAGGTACAAGAATTACATCGAATGGAAGATTTCTTCTTCGATCAAGCGTTGTGAGGGAATAGTTAATGGATAAGTAAAACGCGTGTTAGAATAAAATCTTCTTTTATTATTTTTGAAAATACTCTCAAAAAAATAAAGGTATAAGAATTTCTTCTTCAGCAATGTATTAAGTGTCGTGAGGGAATAATTAATGGATAATTAAAACGCGTGTTAGAATAAAATCTGTACGTGTCGTTGAATGAGGGTTTACAAGGATTATTGTCGAGTGGAAGGAAGTTCAATTTCATCGTGCGTTTTTACTTCCATTTTCTTCTACTTCCAAAGATGCTTTCAAAAAAATAAAGGTTTATAAGGATTATTATTAAGTGGAAAATTTCTTCTTCCATCAAGCGTCGTAAGGGAATAGTTAATGGATAATTAAAACGCGTGTTAGAATAAAATCTGTACGTGTCGTTGAATGAGGGTTTACAAGGATTATTGTCGAGTGGAAGAAAGTTCAGTTTCATTGTGCTCTTCCACTTCTACCTTTTTCTACTATTTTTGAAGATGCTCTCAAAAAATATAAAGGATTATTATCGAGTAAAAGATTCCTTTCAAAGTGGGCTAACGTATCATCACGAGGGAATAATTAACGGATAATTGAAATGCGTTAGAATAAAATCTGTACCTTGAATGAGGGTTTACAAGGATTATCATCGAGAGGAAGGAAATCCTTTACAAGGATTATTATTGAAGATTTCTTTCAAAGTGGGCCAATATAAAGCGTCGTGAGGGAATAGTTAACGGATAATTAAAACGCGTGTTAGAATAAAGTCTGTACAAGGATTATTATCGAATGGAAGAAAGTTCAGTTTCTTCTTCCAAAGTGAGCCAATGGATCGTCGTGAGGGAATAGTTAACGGATAATTAAAACGCGTGTTAAAATAAAAATTGTACGAGGGTTACAAGAATTATTATCGAGTGGAAGGAAGTTCAGTTTCTTCTTCCAAAGTGGACCAACATATGGAGCATCGTGAGGGAATAATTAACGGATAATTAAAACGCGTGTTAGAATAAAAATTGTACGTCGAATGAAGTGCCAGCTTCGTGTGGAAAACGATCTCTGATAAGTACCGCTGGTATTTTTTTTTAACCGCGACTTCACCCCTCCCCCTCGCGCGTATAATAACTCGAGAAAGAGGAAAAAAGCGAGGCTGCATAAATCTCGTTTGTCCTCGACTCGATCTCCCTTCCAAAGGGTCTGTCTGGGTCTGCATGTGAAAAAAACTGTTTTGGGATAACGAGTCGACGCGTGTTGTTAACCCTTTCTTCTATTTTCTTTTCCCAGCCGACAGTAAATGGGAGGAATTGCATCCTGGGGGGGAAAGGCCGCCGGCACTTCAGGAGCACAGCGCGGTCGCTTACAAGGATTGCCTTTATATCTTTGGGGGTGAGCTCGGATTTTCCGCGGGCACGGAAACGCCGCTTTGGGTCTACAATGTCAAGGTAACGTATCACCTAAGGCCAAACCTTTCCCTTTCCCCTTCTCGAGAAAGGGCTCGCATGCGAACGTCGACGGAACGAAAGGGAAAATCGTCAAGTCGACTCCTCGACGTTTCTCTTGAGATCGTGTGACTGTCTCATCCTCCACGGTTAAATTTCGTTGGTCGAAATTTCGTTCCGTCCGAATTTAAGCGATTCGATTTAGGAAAGTGGGGTAAGGCTCGAGGCTACCTCGCTTCTTCCTGTCGTCGAGGGTCTACACCCCTTTGGTCGGGTAAATCGAACGAAACACCATGTTGGCCTTGATTGACAATATCTTGCTTCGATGCTTTTCGTTACAGAGGATTAAGATTAAGAACGTTACTCTTCTTACTTGCTTGAAATTGATTATTCCAAAGTTCCTCTTCGTCTTATCGCGAATTACGATTCTTTATCATTTCTTTATCGTTCTCTGATCGAATCGACGACGATTTTTCGTAACTAACCGGTGTCAACACCTCTCGCTTCCCTCGAAATTGAACGCTCGTCCTCCCAAGGGTTTCTCTCCACCCTCAACCTGTATGTGTTGCCGATCATTAAAAATTGATAAATTCAGGCTACGCACGAAGGTTCCTCAGTTCCTCCTTAATAGTTTATATATATCTTCCTTTCAACGGGGGGTGCGAAAAAATAGAGGAAGAAGGGAAGGAATAATCTGCAATAATCTCGTGATTTTTCCTTCGTTCTTCTCGCGTATAAAAATTATCTCCGTTTAATTTTTCACTTTAATCTAAATTTTCTTTTTTTTTTTTTTCCTCCTTTCCTCGGTCGCCATGGTTACTTTGCTCCTCTGCATTTTTGCTCATTGAACCATGACACACAGGGACATTCCCCGCCCTGCTTGTCTCCTCGTAATGTATTATTGAAATCCGCGTTACGAATGCGCCTGGCAAACCCGATTGGTTAAGCCAGAGGGGTTGCCTCGCGGTTTGCTCTCTCTCTCCACTTCGTCTTCCCTTCGAGCCTCGTTAAAATTCTCTCTCTCTCTCTCTTTCTATATATATATATATAGCGAATCGAAGGTGAAGGGGAAAAATCGTATCCAGACGAAACCTTTTCTTTTCTTTTTTTTTTTTATCTTCTCTTTTCTCCTTCTTTTTCTAATTCAACTCGATAATTAATCGAAAGATCGATTCTTCGAAGATCATTTCGAAGATTCAAAAATTACCGCTCGTAAACTGTTTTCAACGCTAATTTCGCGGCGTTTTTAACGTCGATGGTGGATTTAGCTAGTATTCCACCCTCTCGCAACCCCCTCGTATAATACGGGGGTAGTACGCAAGTGGCCTATCAACTTTAGGCACGTACTTCGAGTTACGTAATTACTTTCAGCACCCTTGCCGTATAGCTTGTACACCTTCCTTCCATCTTTCTCTCTCCTTTCGTAAGATCCGCGGACCCTTTTGGCCCCTGAGCCAACGCATATTTCTTTCCTTTCGTTGAGACGGCGCGCCCGACTCGAGATAAAAAAGACTCGCTGATTGCCTATTTCAGAAATATTGTATAATTCACGGATCCCCGTTATTCTCGTGTCTTCCATAATATCGGCTATTTTTCTCCCTTTCTAATATGCCCTTCCCTCTGACGAACAAATCGTGCGTCACTCACGTAACGTCCTACATCTTTTCATCGGCGTTCATTTTTTTTTTTTTTTTTTCAAGGTGAAGTTTTTAATAATAGATCGATCTTTACGAGAGCTTTATATTTTATACGCTTTTTTTTCCCCCCTCTCTCGAATAATTTCAACCGCGAAATTCTATCTTCGAAGGGGAAACAGGAGAATCGAAAAAAAGAGAGCCGATCTCGAGACGAAAGTGATAACGTATTCTCGTATCATCTGTTGATCGACCATGTTTCTAGACCAACGTGTGGAGAAAGGTGAGGGCGCAACGAGGTTGCGCCGTTCCAAGAGGTCGAAGAGGTCACACCGCTTTGGTTCATCGCGGCCAGATGCTCATTTACGGTGGTTACCAAGATTTGCGTGGCAGCTCTCCGGAATTATGGGCTTTTCATTTCGGTAAAAAATCTCGTTATTCGCTTTTAAACGGCATTTACGATTTCGGTTTTTAATGTTCCATCGCTTTCAGAGACAGAATCGTGGCATCTTCTGTCCTCGAGCGAGAGTGGGCCAGCAGCGAGGCACAAACACTCGGCCGTGTTGCACGGCGACGCCATGTACATTTACGGCGGTATGACCGATCTGCAAGAGAGAAGCGATTGCTGGAGATGGGACGTGAATACCGCCTCTTGGTGCCTGTTAAGGAACAAACCTGGACCGGGCCCCCTTCACGGCCACGCGGCCTGCAGGCTCCCCAGTTGTATGCTAATTTTTGGCGGGGAAAGCGGTGGCTTGGCCACGAACGAACTCTGGAGGTTTCATTTCGGTAAAAATTATTATGAATTGTTATACACATCTTCTGTGTGACTTATATTCATATAGCATATATATATATATATAAAATATCCAAAGTGGTTGCGAAGGGGTTGACAGATCGCTACAGGTTGATTGAAATTTGTTGAAAGGTACGGAAACGTGGGAAAAATTATCAGTGCCAGGTCCTAAACCCCAACCAAGAGCGGAGAGCGTCGCGTTAGCGGTTTCCGAACTGTTGATTCGAGGGACCAATATCGATAATTCGAAGCCGAAACCGAAGAATCAAAGGACGAGGCTGTGCAACAACAGGATATCGCCCAATGAAGCGCCAGCCAGGCCGAGCTTTCTCAAGGAGATTTCTAAATTATCACAAATCAATCTTTCACGGTTGAGCCATCCAACCAAGTGCAGCTATTCCGTTTTAAGTGGGCAGGACGATAACGAGGAAAGTCCCCAAGAGGTACTTACTTTACTTTATAATAGAAAGTAATAAAACAATTTCTTCTTCTCCTTCGATTTTTCGAAATTACACGTGCACCTATCCACCAGTAGTAGTATTACACGCACACGAAACGCATGTGACAAATACAAGCCTGCCTGCAGGCGAATACGTATTATCCGTTTCAGCAAGTGGACTCGGAAGTTTGCGAGCCATCGACGGGGATGGTGAAGTCGCGAAGCGCCAACACGTTGGCCCGTCGAAGGCAAAAACCTGCGGAAACTGCGTCGAAAAACGCGGAGGCGAGTTGCAACAATCCGACAAACAACTCTGGAATGACCAGAGATCCTATCTCGGTGCCGAATTTCCGCGCGTTGACGCTACCCACCCCGGTTCTCACGCCTGTGGAAGCAGCAAGGCTCGTGTTCGTCGACCTGGACGAGAACAGCGACAACGAAGAACGAACGGAGCCTCCTACCTCCAGGCTGATAGAGGTGCAGGAGGAGAAACGGTGAGAGATACTCCTCCAGTTATATAACGTGAATAATAGAATTTCTGCGAATTTTTCCAGAGATTTCGCGGCCGTGCACCAAGCTTGCCAACCGACGCGGGGCGAGAGTTACAGCTCTCACCTTTACGAGGCCGCACTTCAAACGCCAAAAACGCCGACCACCTCGAAAATTCCCACGTCAGCTTCGGTTCGATTCGCCGACTTGGAAGAGGGCGAGGAGTCGACGTCGGATTACGCGAGCATAGAGGCCAGAAGTCCTGGGGATCCCCTCGCGGACGACGATTGGCCGTCGGGTCGAAAGAGCAAACAGTATCGTCCCATGGTGACGCCGTCGACGATACGCGAGGGCCAATTCGGCTTTTGCAATCCGAATTATCTTGGACTGGACGAGACGAAGAATCATCATTACCATCATCACCACCATCAGCAGCAACAGCAACAGCAGCAGCAACAGCAGCAGCAGCAGCAGCAGCAGCAACCTCAAGATGGGAAGTACGCGAAATTATTGAACAGCCCACCGGACAGTGTTTTAGAGGACGAACCAGGAAGATCTGCCTCGCAGACATTCGCGGAACTGTTGGAGCTTCAGGAAATCAAAAGAGTGCCGAGGGCACCGCCTAAAAGTTTACCGTTAGGTTCTCCGTCTAGAAGAGCAGTCAGTGCGTCGAGGGCCGAAAGGCAAAGGGCGAAGGTCGCCGCGATTGAAGAGTCGGAGACGCCTTCGTACGGACCAGCGCCTCTTTACGTGTTTTTAGTTGGAGGGAAGGAGAAGGGCCAGGTCACGGTGTTCGCCAGGCCCGTTTCATTGTGGAAATTGCAATTAGCGCCACACATCTTTTAAAGAAACAAAAATATGATAAGTATGTTCGTTGATTTTATCTTATATTTTTTTTTTTTTTTTTTATTAATCTTATCTAATATTTCTCTTAAAGATTTCCGTCGAGTCAATCGAAGAAAGATTTTTCCTCAGAAAGACTTCCTCCCGACTTTGTGTTTTAAAATATTAAGAAGAAGAAGAAGAAGAAGAAGAAGAAAAAAAGGCGACCGATAAATGCACTTTTCTTAATTGCCAAATGTTATATCATTGCAATTAATCATGTTTAGCTCGTAGAAAGAGGGCTTTTCTAGTTTTCTATATTGATATATTTATTGTTGAATACAACGTTTGTTCAGGTAATACGCACTTTACTTCAAAAGTCCTGTCAAGTCCATTTTCTAGTCATTTTTTTACAAATAGTATTCAACTCTTTTAAGTATTCGATATTATATTATATCGGAAAGTATATAATTAATATACAGTGCAATATGTGAAATGTGATTAGAATATAAGTAATTACTTACTCGAGTTTACAACTTTGGATAATGTATATTATTATTCCACAGTTATTTTCTTTAAATTATTTTTCTTCTTTTTCTATATCTAATTATCATTATATCAAATTAAGAAATATTATGTTATATAAAATAATTTTAAAAATGAGTAAATATTCTCTCTCTTTTCTTTTTGAATAAATATATTTGAATACTATATTGTTAAATAAATATTTACATAACGATAGAATTCTCTTAAATGATATAACATACACATTATTGATTTATCTGTTTATGCAGATAATAATAGTATGGATTCTGAATTCAAATTTAATTCACTGATTTTTTTCTCGTTTACTTTGCCACTTGCATTTTAAAATAATTGTAATAATAATCATCATAAATCATATTTTTAAATCAGTGAATGAAACCGGAAAATATTGTATTCTTTAATAATGATTGTTCTATTATTTGGTTTACAGAGCAAATGTTAATTACCAAAGCGCAAGTCAAACGAGTGAAATGTGCAATCCTTTGTCTACGACTGCGTTCTTTCAATCTTAAATGGTATACGTAGCATCTTATAAGAATTATGATTAAGATCGAAACTTTAGATCCACGTTTATTATATTATACATGATACAATTTTTCATATTATAGTGAATAATACGAGTGATAGATTATTTAAATTTTTTGATTCGAAAATTGAGAGATAACATCAAAAGACTCGCCTGATCTGCGCTTAACTGCCATCGACTGTGAACATGATATGCATAGAAAATAAAATAGAATTAAAATGTAATAAACTCGACGTATTTGACGTTTAAAACATTCTGAATATTAAATGGAAATCAATGTGTGATTGTGCCCAATGTGAATAATTAAAGTACGTTTCAATTATTTGATAAAAATTAAATTTTTATAAGAAGATAGATAAATTTTAAATGGAATTTTCTCGTCGATAATCTGAAAACTGGACTAAAATCTAGAAATAATTAATGAAAACCAGTACGATTGATTTTCGTTTTAACTTCATCACGAAAGGAGATATTTCTAACGCGCGAAACGTACAATCGTATAAAAAAAATTGTGTTCTAAAAATATTATAGGGAATATGTATAAAACAAAAGAATCAATGAAGTCAAAAGTCTTTAATTATGACTGTATTTATGATGCTAGCGTATCATAGATCTGATAGATATATCATAAGCGAAGAAAATGGTAAAATACGATGGAAGATCTCTTGTTCATGTAGAGTTTTTATGCCCACAAAGGCCCAATACATGTAATCCATCCATATAGTAGCAAAGGTCAACGTGGAACCTCATAGGCTGAATATTAAAATATTTTGTATTCATAATAATTTTATATTCATTTCATACGAAACATAAAAATGGAAAAATTTATCTGTCCAAATGTTAATTTCTCTTGTAGAATATTTTATAATAATAAAACTGTGTTTAGGATTTAGTAAGGGCATGTGCAATATGTACATATTATATAGATGTATATAAGTATTCTTTGTTGAAATTAAAACACAACTCTGTTTAACAAAATTATTTTTGGTAATATTCAGCTAGAGGCCGCAAGCACCCGAAAAAAATCAATGTTTTCCATTCGTAGCACTAGTCAATTTTACATTTCACAATCATTGTACAAACGTTAAGATAAATGTTTCGTAATGTTATTTCTCTCCTAGAATTTTTTAGCCTAATATTTATTCATTTTCAATATGTACAGTATTATCCATGATATTTTTTTTGCATTATATAAATAATTGTTCCCGCAATCTTGACCATTTTGGCAAGAAATTAACAACTATAATTAATTAATTAATCGTACGAAATATACATATATACCGCCTTTAAATTTTCGATTATCTCGTAATTTCATAGTTCTATAAGTTTAATCAATTTCGTACGACGTACAACTTAATTTAACGAGAAAATAAATTTTATAATTTAAAATGAAAGTAAAAGCCAAACAGAAGCATATATTTAAAATAATTAACATTTCCGCGTAAATATTATTTTAAGTCCTATACATGAATAATGCAATCTGATAGTCAATTATGATCGTATCGTTAAATATATCCGTTGCCAAATATGTACCTATTTCTCTTTAGAATGTTTTGCCTCATAAACAAGATTTG